TTTTTCTTCTTCAACTTAATATAGTATAACAAAGGAATACAATAAGGTTAGAGATCCAAATACTTGGCAATATTCATTTCAGAGGTCATTTTAAACCTAAACCTGCCTGGGGCCTGGGAGATGGCTCAGTGGAATAAGCACTTCCCTGGCAAGCATAAGGGCCTGAGTTCAATCCCCGGTTCCGCCAAAAAAAAAAAAAAAAAAAACCTAAACCTGCCAAATTAAATGAGCTCTACATTGACAACCCAAAATATGAAAACAATTTAGTCCAATTTTATTTTATGAAAATTATATAATTATTTAAATTTTAATTTTCTTACATTCTCGCCTTATAGAAAGAAAGGATAAAGATAAATTAATTTTGCTTCAAAACTCAAAAATGTTAACTAAATTTTGTAGAGAAAGGATAGGGACTTAAATTATAATCAAATTGAAGAGTAACTTTGGCAGTGTTTATTCTTTAATATTATAGTAAAGGAAATAAATTGAAAACATTACTTATAGCTTTGTTTAATAATATCAGTTAACTATAAAGTATTAGTACTTAGAAGAGAACTTCAAATTCTACAATCATTGTTCTATAAAAAAATAGAAATGCAGGCCAAGAGTCAAGCCACCAAATGCTAGGGCCAGAGCTGAAATTCAAGTATTTCTCAGCTGTTGTTTTATTCTCTATCACAATTCATTTTGGTGATGTGCAATGAAAGTTTCGAAGAGCACTATCTTTTTGCCTTTTCTAGCATTTGATTAACGTGCTTTGTTTTCTGTGTAAGGTTGCAGGACAAGGATGTGTGGAGTGTTGGCTTGCACGCCTGCTGCTACCTAGAAAACGTTTTTTCCTTCACAAGAATGAAAGTGTAACTTAAACACACAATAATAAAAGTCTAGACCACTTGCCAGGAAATCACCTGTTTCAACACTTCCCCTTCTACAATTACAGATGATTCTATTACATTTAAATTGATGTCAGGATCTTATAAAATTTATATAAGCCAAAGTATAGTTAAGATTTTCATACAACCAGAAGAAAGCAATGTGAAGGCCCCACAATATATTAGTAACTCTCAGGATTTCCTTTTTCCGTTATCACTAAAAGATAACTGAAAGCTGGTAAAAAGGAGAAGCTAATATTATGTGAAACTATTGTGAAATACAAACCATTTCACAGAAATATTTTTTTCAGTCTTCACATTCCTTAACTTCCAACAACTAAAGTCATATATATCTTGATTCCCTTATTCATCACATCTTCATTCCCTCCCTTAAGTAGTATCATAGAACCATTTCATTGTGCTGACTACTTTCTTTTCTTTCTCTTTTTGTACTGACTACTTTCTTCAATTCTTCCAAACTCTTTACTCCCATTAAAGTTAAAGTTCTAACCATTCCTCAATTGTTGCTGCTCTGTAGGGCACATTCTGGATCCACTTTTTCCTTTTCACTCAAAAATACCCACTGAGCAGTTAGAAACTGCTAAATAATCTGTGCAAGTTAAAACTCTCCTAGATAACTATGTTACTGAGTAAATAACAGGAAAATTCTTTGCTCTCTTGAAGTATATATCATATACATAGCAGTCAGGTAAAAACAGTTAAAAAACCACATATAATAAGCCATTTAGCATGTTAGAAATGTCTAAGTATTACGGAAACTGAGGGCTGGGGAGATGGCTCAGTAGAGTAAGTGCTTCCCTGGCAAGAGCAAGGGCCTGAGTTCAATCCCCGCTTCTGCCAAAAAAAAAAAAAAAAAAAAAAGAAAGAAAAGAAACTGAGCAGGATAAATGGAATCAACTCCAATACTCTCCTTAGATCCTTTTATTGTGATAATGTACCATAATTCACTCCATCAGCCAGGTCAAATACTTCTTAGCCATGCCAATGCCTTCCTTTCTCTTATTTGCTAGGTCTTACTGGTCTACAGGTTTACTCATCTACATCAGCAATTATAACTGATTCTCATTACAGATTCTCTAATAAAAGATCTTAGCAAATACCAGTACAGAGAAAATTCTTTAGTCAGACTGTCCAAATTTAATTAGGCTCCACCACGTACTTGCCTTTTGGTTTTGATCTTCAGCCCTGGTGCTCCTACCTGTACTAGAAAGGCAATCTATTTTGACTAAAGAAATGTGGAGGAATTTTCATCAATGTTGGCATCAGAATCACCATGAGTAGCAGCAGCTTGATTCATTCCTTAAAAGTCTCTTAACTGGCTTTCTTCTTCTAGTCTTAGCCTTCACTAGTCTCCTCCAACACTATATCCCAAATAATCCTTGAAATCCACACACCTGAATAGTACAATGACCCCAAGAATTGCCTATCACCTTTCCCCCTAAACAGTTCCCTACTGCTTTTCTCAAAAAATGCAAATATATTACCATGATAAAGAATTTATTATATTTTACTCCTTCAATTTTTCTTTTTCAAAAATTTAATCTTTTAGTGCATTATCACTAAAGCAAGACAGGTTGGAACTGAAATTATTTGTGAAAAAATCTTCAAAACATAAAATTTGGTTTCTTTTTTAAATTTACAAAAGTCTCAACAACAGATCTTAAAGTTATCACAATTTGCTTTTGTTTTCAAATCTTATTTAATTTTCACTGTCCAAATGTCAAGTGGCTTTTGATTTAATCTAACACACCATGGTACAGTTTAACACAAAATATACACTGTGAGAATTTGCAACTCTACTACTAACCTGTTCTCAAACTCTTTTTAAAAAAATATATTTGGTTGTTGCAGGTCTCACTACGCAGCCCGGACTCTGGGCAACTCAGCCTGTCCTCAGGGCAGGGCTGCTGTGCCATGTGGTGCAGAGATTGAACCTGGGTCCCTGAGCCTGCCTAAGCTTGCCTAAGCAGGTGCTTTAGTCCACTGAGCAATCACACTCGCCCTTTAAACTCTTTTATTGTTATATTTTCCCCTTAAAAAACAATAGAAGCCAAATATATAAGTTATTTCCTTGAGGGTTTTTGTCAAATTTTTTCTTCCTATGAAATAAACACAAACCAATAACTGATTGACTTACTGCACTATTACATCTTTTCTGTATGTGTAAACATGTATACGTTTTTGTTTATTTATTTATTTTTTTTGTGGTAGCTGGGGATTGAACTCATGACCTTGTGCTTGCCAAGCAAGTACTTTTTCCACTGAGCTATCTCCCCAACACTGTTTTTGTACATATAGGCAAATTGACATTAACCAAGACCATCTTATTAGGTGATAAAAACAAGAGCACCATAAAAGTAATAATAAAATATCAGTGGCTATTTTATAGCTTAGGTCCACTTATGTTATTTTATACAGTCATTTCTATAATTAAGAAATAAAGACATCTTCAAATGATATAAAGCTATATTTAAAAGAACATATAGAGATTACTAAATAAAAATATGAAAACTGAGCAAATTTACAATTATGAGGCAGGTGGTAGTAAAAGAGCTAATTATAATCAATTTGTTCTTTTTTTTAACTGTCCAATTAGTGAGAAGCCTCTCAAGACAAACATTTTACTTACTGATCATTGGTAATAATATGTACAATTTATATAAAATCCATTTATGTTAAGGCACAGGGAAATAGCTGAGTAGAATAAGTGCTTGCCTGGCAAACACAAGGTCCTGAGTTCAATCCCCGGTTCCACAAAAAAAAAAATCCATTTATGTTAAACAAGTCATGAACACAAGCTGAAATAATTCTGAAAATCAAATTTTAATTAGGTTATAATATAAATAATCATACAGCCCAATAATTGTCAAAGGACTAATATAGAGCTTAGTGGTCAGATTTGGACTTAGTGTACTATTTTCACTTTATATTACTATTTTTCACTTTATCCTATTTCGCTTTTTGTTACTATTCACAAATTTAGACAACATAAAACTAAGCAAAGTTATTATTTTACCTTAAAAATACAAATATTTTAGGTTTAATATAAGACTTCATTTTTTTTAAGAGCAGAATACATTTATTGGGGGAAAGAAAGCTTCTGTCTGAGAAAGGGTGACAAAAGGGGACCCAAGTGGGTTGCCCTTCATGTTTTTAAAGAGTCGAACTATAAGGCTGATATGTGTGTATATGTATGTCATTGACATTTTTGTCAAGAAAGAATTATAGGAAAATTCTGTATTATTCGTTTACACTACAAAATTTTATTATGCAATCAGTGTAACTGTGTATAGCCCTTACTAAAAGGTTTAGAAACGGAAAGCCAAAAGCTTAGGGGCCAGGGAGACAGCTCAGTAAAATAAGCACTTGTCTGGCAAATGTAAGGTCCTGAGTTCAATCCCCAGTTCTGAAAAAAAAGCTTATTTCTTTTTGTTTCTTAATAAAGTTTTAATATGGTTTGCAGTAGTGTTTAATCATATATCTAAACTTAACCTAATCTTTTCTTTACTTTAAATTGGTACCAGGGATGAAACTCAGGACCTTGTGCTTGCCAGGCAGGTGCTTCAGCCACTGACATATCTCCCTGGCCCAATCTTTTTATTTTATATAAAACTTTTATATTATTTTGTGTTCCAAAACTAGTGAAAATAAAATTAATTTCAATTTCTGTGTGTTTAGAGCACCACAACACCATGCAATGAAAATAGAGAATGAAAGAAGCAAGGATAAGGAACATGATATTCTGTGAAAGTAGTATGTCAACTTAGCCATTTAAAGCAGTATTAGAACCCCAATGATCACTTCCTTAAACATGATCAATTAATAAAAAATAAAGAAAATCAAGTCATTGTTAGAAATTCGTTATGACAGCCGAATGACTTCGCTTATAAAACAGTGAAGGTATTATACATCTGTCAGAGATAAATTGGCTAGATACTTATTTAGGCATAAAGTTTTACAAAAGATCAATACATATTTGATGATACTCCTATACTGTGATGAATCATAATTAGTCATTTGATACTTGGCACTTTTGAAGAAATGAAATAATATATGAAAACAGGTGTCTGAGGAGGAGTTAATTAAGAAGCATGTGAGAGATTTTACCTGTCCAACCAGGCAAGCAGACTCTTGGCTGCTCCAATCAGATCCACAACTGATGTCAGAAAGTCATTTGGCAATTTTCGGCTGGTCCTCCCATCATAATGGCCACTCCTTCTCCTTCCTGTTATAAAGTTTTGTAGATTTTTGGCAGATGCATTCAGCTTATGAGATAGAGTTTTCAGATTTTCTGTCTCCAAGCCATAATTCTGAATTATAAAAAGATAATAAATAGATTAATGTCAGTATTTCTTTCATTCATGAAAATATTTATTGAGCATTTCACTATGCACAGACAATGGGGATATTATCAGAGTTCCAAATGACTAAGGTAAGATCCCTGTGTAGCCTACAATAAAAGTAAGGATATGGGGAAATGTCAGATAAAGAAATAATAGGATGTGTTACATATCAATAAGAACATGCCTGGACATGCTGTGCAGGCCTCATCCCTGCCCCCAACCCTGGGGGTGCGCTGAGATGGCAATTGAGACTAGGCATGGTGGCACGCGCCTGTAATGCCAACTCTTGGGAGGCTGTAAACAGGCGGATCAGTACAAGTCCCATCTAATAGTGAGACCCTGATCACCCTGTAAACCCTTCCCTAAAATACAAAAAAAAATCAATTAGTACATGGAATTATGCATCTATTATATCTTGGAACTATGACACCTGATATAGCAAGATTATAAGGATTCATGAGTTTATTTTTTTAAAAGAAAAACCTAAGCTCATTTACTTGTGAAATTATTACAGTCTATTACTATTGTATTGTCTATCCAGTTATTGTATGCAAGCTCATGAATATAGATACCAGGAAAAATTCTGCTTGCTCAAAGCTAAAATAGGGTAACCCAACAATAAAATGAAAAAGAAATAATTTGTATAAAGTATACTACTTTTTCTGTGTTCTCTACAGAAAAAAATAATAAGTTTCTGTTACAATATGATATGAGGAGGTGCTGGAGATATAGCTCAGGAGCATAAGCACCTGCCCAGCAAGTGCAAAGTCCTGAGTTTGATCCCAGATATTGAAAAAACAAACAAACAAAAACCAATATGCTATCAGGAAAAAACTCTACTTCTTCAGGGAAATTAACACACTTCCTATTTTTATAACTTAATTGTGAAGTTAAATTATTATTTTTGTTCTGGATGATTTAGATCACATTAAAATGTAAAGAACAATCAAATCAAGCATGCTGAATTCTTAGTAAATGTATCTGTTTACTTCTTTTCTTGTTTTCACTTCAATATTTAGTTGTATTAATTCATTCAAAATATTTTTGTCTATATACTATTTTACATAGGGTTTAAGTGAATAAATATATTTCTTAATATATTTACCACCTTCAGATAGGAAACAATTATACTATTCCTTCAAATAAACTTACTGAAAGTTTTTAAAAAATCACAATTTGCATTCAAAATAGCCAATTGTGAATTTCAGAATACTCATAAGAAAAGGTAGTTAAGAAGATCAAAAGATGTCCTTAATTAACTTAGTATTGTATGTATATTTCTGTTCTGTGCAAAATTAAAAGTATATAACATCATAAATTTCAAAGAATATTTTGGGGCCAGGGAGATAGCTTAGTAGAATAAGTGCTTCCCGGAGAAGCGCAAGGGCCTGAGTTCAATCCCTGGTTCTGCAAATAAATAAATAAAAATAAAGAATATTTTAATTTACTTGGGCCTAAGAGGCTGTTACATCTATCCTCCTTTCACGGTTGAATAAAATGAGGTGTAGGGAAGTTTTTTTAAAGGTTTGCTTAGGAGCTCAGGGATTAGACCAGATGGCTTATAATAAGGGACTGCCTCCCACCTGCCGGGGAAGTCTCTACCACATTCCTTCAGCCTCAACAACTGGAGCAAAGTAGAAACAAAAAGTTATAAAAAAGGAAATAAATGGCAAAAAGAATTTAACTCCACATCAATAACCACTGGGTATATATTTTATATTCAGCTTAATTGGTCAACTTCCTATGGTAATTTAACAATAAGAGAAACAAGTAGGACAAAATGCAGATGAGAAGATTTTCATGCATAAACATTAAATATCAAATTATGTCATGCATATTACTAATCAATGATTTAGTGATAAAATACAATTTTTGATGGAAATTCTATTTTTAATTGAAATATTCCTTTAAAAACCTATTTATTTGTGTTATTTAAAAACAGCATATTAAATATTCACTCCTTAATTTGAGTTGGAAGATCATCTTGCAAGTTAAAACATTTTCCTTGAGCAAAAGAAACAACTCTCTATTCAGAATCTATTATGTCTGATCATGGGTTATCTGTGAAACGTTTGAGAGATTTATCTAGCTTGTCACTGTATGAAGGAAATTCTCTTATATTTTTATAAAAGAGGCTATCACATGAGTAAATCAGGAGAATTTATTGTATAATTACATCAACCAATTGTGATGCTTCTGATGTGCTTAAAAGTATTTTTAGGTTTTCCATAATTTAAAGCATTGTTCTGAAATACAGAGTACTCAAATTATTTTTGTGTATTAATTGGTTTAATGAAGAACCATTTGTTTACAAATTATAATAATTTCTTAGAGAAAAATCTAATCAATTAACTAGGTAACTGATATTTCATTTATATTCATTAAACTTCTATAAAGATTAATTTAAAATATTTTGCTCAACAACATTAGCATGTCAAGTTATTAGAAAAGCTGATATATATGTGGCCTTCATTATCACTTCGAACTCTGCACCAGCCAAATCAATATATTCTTATTTTCAACTGACCACTCCATATGCTTTTACAATTTGGTGATTACA